GTTGACAGACTGGATTGACTGGTTTAGCTGAGAGTAAAAAAACCAAAAAACCAGCCAGTCTCAGAACAAGAAGCCTTAAAGTTACACTGTATGCCAATAATTAGTAGCAGTTTTCAACTCACCATAAAGCAGCCACACAGCACCACCCTGTGGGGAATTACATTCCTGGGCTTTAAGGTGTTTTTATCGTTCCACATTTCCAGCCTTACAACAAATGTTTAAGTACGCACTTAAACATTTTGTGCAGATCATGTAAAGCAATTGACTTTGCAGAGGGCATGCAGCTCCATCACGCAGCTCTGCTTACCTGAAGAGGGTCAACCTTGCAGTGCATCCTGCACACACATTTGTGCAGCAGTTCTATATTGCATTTATATGCTGCAAAGTACAGGAAATAACAGAGATTTTCCCATTCTTTCCTCTTGTGCTTCCACTCAGTACCCAGAAGGATGATTACTCCAGTTTGATTTTCCAGGTGGAAACAGGCTTGACATCTCAGCCCATCTCAACACTGCTGGTGGCAAAACCAGAAGCTTTGAAGAGTTACCTGAAAGGTTCTGCAATAGTGGGACCCTTTACAGGAGTGACTCCAGCACGCAGCAGTCAGGAATCACCTGCTAAGGGAGGCAAGGAAGGTTTTCAAAGCATCTCTTAGCCTTCAGTCATGCTAACTCACCATTTCTCAGGCAGCTCTTTCACCTTCAAACTGCTTCACAGTCTGTGTTGTCCATCTGCACTTCAGCCCATGTCTCTGCCTTCCAGAGGTGTAGGAGTTTAGCTGTACTAATCGCAGAGATCGCAGAGATGTTCCACCTATGCAGTATGCCTGCATTCATGCTGACTTTGACATGATTGGTTTTTAGGGAAGATGCTGGCAGCCCACTTTGATTGCCCAGGAGGCCCAGAAAATCTCTACGTGAAAGAAGTGATGAAACCACATCCAAGAGAAGGAGAAGTTCTTGTGAAAGTCTCTGCCAGTGCTCTGAATAGGGCTGATTTACTCCAGGTACGTGTATGTTAAGTGGGTTTATGCACCTGAAAACACCAACTTTTCAAGTCTCCATTTGTAGTCCTGACAAATCAGAAGAGTTAAGAGAGATTGGCCTTGGTGAGCATGTGGATGGGAGTCTTCTAAGGAAATGCTCATAGGGCTGAAAGAAGAGGTGTTGATTGAGTAGGTGAATGCTTTTATTTTGGTCCCTGCAATACATGGAGACATGGAAAAGCAGCTGTCTTTCAAAAAAAGATGTAAAATGAGAGCTCCAGTCTTTCTGGATGCTTAGACCATTCCCTAATTTGAGCAGAAAACGATGATCAGGAACTGAAAGCCATTCCCAGTATGGATTGGTGTGGACGTAGGGAGCTTGCAGCAAATGATACTTGCACAGTTTTAAGAATCAAATATACTTACTAGGGAAAAGGGAGTGTTGCCAAAGGATGGAAGGTCCTTAAATTACTGAAACCTTTGCACAGTCCAAAATCAGGGTAAAATAAAAAGGCGTGCAGATAGGAGGTATGCAAATAAAATACCACAGGTTGTTACACTCACTGATGTATGGCTTTTCCTTCCCTACCCTCTCTTTTGTTTTGTTTTAGAGGAGAGGGAAGTATCCTCCCCCCAAGGGAGCAAGTGATATTTTAGGCTTAGAAGCAGCTGGGAGTGTGGCTGGGCTCGGACCTGGCTGCACTGGGCGGTGGAAGATTGGCGATGCAGTGATGGCTCTGCTCTCTGGAGGCGGCCAGGCTGAATATGTTACAGTACCTGAAGGCCAGCTGATGCCAGTTCCCAAAGACATTACATTTGTTCAGGCTGCAGCCATTCCTGAGGCTTGGTTAACAGCTTTTCAGCTGCTGCATTTTGTAGGTGAGCTGTACTTGCGACTCTATCCTGTCAAAACAGTTCACCTTGATTTCTGCTGTTAAATCCTCTGATTGTTGCCTCCACCTGAATGCTGTCTGCCTTCAAACTGTTTTCTCTGTCACACCATTCACATCTTACCTATCTGGTCAGAATAAGGTATGAACTCACATTCTGAAATCCTGACCACATCTGTCCAGTCACAACATACTCTGCTGACTTCAGGAGAACCAATCCTTAATGTTACCCAAAACTTGAGGAATTTCTCCACTGCTCAATATTCACATTCAGTGAGTTTTCTGTTGGCAGCAGTTCACTGAAGTCAGTAGAATGGAATCCTGTTAGTACACCAGGAGTTGTGTTCATTCTGGATTTGCTGCTTTAATAAAGGACATGAAGTTGTAAATAGGACTCGGTGAATAAGGGTATCTCTTTAAGATTTCACTATTTTTATCTGTTCAGTTTTTGCCACTTTGATCATGTTTTACTTCCCAGATAATCCCCAAAGGGTAATCGTTTCCTTTACATCCTCCTTCAGGTAAAATACAGAAAGGGGAAACAGTGTTGATCCACGCTGGAGCTAGCGGGGTTGGGATGGCAGCCATTCAGCTGGTGAGACTGGCAAATGCTATTCCCATCGTGACAGCAGGAACTCAGGAGAAACTGGAAGCAACAACAAACGCTGGAGCAGCTGCAGGGTTCAACTACAAGAAGGAAGACTTTAGCGAAAAGGTCTTGGCCTTCACCCAAGGTAAGAACCTGTGAGTGAAAGACACAGTTAAGAAAAAGTGTGTATCTTCTAAAGCATATGCACATACACTCAATTTCAACTGGGAGTTTCCACCATCTTTTCAAAAAGAAGCATGCAAATCTTCCATGCTCCCTTTGGTGCTAAAGAGGTTGGGAATCCAGTGGTATTAAATCTGCTTTACTACTCGTGAGTTACTACGGGTAGCATAACATTCTGTTCAGGCCAAGAATGTATCTTTCCTTAGTTTATCTGGGCTGTTTTGCACATGGGTCCCTTTGGCTTTATGTTCATTGGCAGTATAAAAATGGTGCCAACATTATTGTTGCTCCTACAGTGAAATGTAGGAGCAAATCCTTGCACTTGTTTGAATATGTGCACAAAACTTTGTTATCTTACAGTTAGGAAAAATTAGGGTTTTTAAAAGCATTTGAGACACTTTCTGACACGTGTGTGTATCTGTAATGATTTGGTTTTGTGCCTCATGCTAGGATTCTTTACAAATCTTTGTGCCAGTTCATTTCCCAGGATTTAAGTAATACCTGCAAGAATAATTCTGTACTTAAAGAGAATAATGTTTTACTTTTGCTTGCTTGAGATTATTCTGCCTTTAATACAACTCAATGGTATTGCTGTTTCTTTTTTTTTTTTCTTTCTGTTTCTACTTGAGGTTCTGGAGTAGATATTATTTTAGATTGTGTTGGTGGCTCTTACTGGGAGAAGAATCTCAGCTGCTTGAGAACTGATGGCCGGTGGGTTATTTATGGACTACTGAGTGGAGGTGAAGTTCATGGAGATCTGCTTGCAAGGCTGCTTTCCAAAAGAGGGAGCATCCACACAAGTCTATTAAGATCACGAGACAAGGAGGCAAGTAATGACTATCAATGCTGTATATAGTTTAATCTTAAATTTGTGACAGTTTTGAAAGTTTTCTTTTGATATCAGCTCTAAAGCAGAAAAAAAGAGTACCAGGTTGAATTGTTAGTACTAACTTTAGAAAACATTGCAAAATTACGTTAGTTTCCTTTTTCTACCTCTGTGAAGTGCATCCTTCCAGTAAGCAGTACACCAGAGGAATGCATTGGGAATACTCGGGACTTTTTAACATTCTTAATGACTACCATAATTCTAAAAGATTTGTTCTAAGAAATAAAACTCAGGTAATCAGATGACTTGATCAAGTCTGGGGGAGAGAAAGAGAAGAACCTCCATCAGGTCATCTGCAGCCACACTCCTCAAAGCAGAGACCAAGTTAATTTCAAGTCCAGAAATTACCAAAAGAAAATCACTTTATGTGGGAAATTCAGTTATGACTATAAAAGGCACTTCAGGATAGATGCTGTCCACGAGAAATGTCTGAGAATTGTATACATTTTGTATGCTGTCTTCAGAGACTGTTCAGTGAATGTGAATGACTAGAAAATGATTTCAAAAATGCTTTATTTTTCTGCAGTATAAGGAGCAGCTGGTGAAAGCCTTCATAGAAAATGTGCTGCCCTATTTCTCTGAAGGAGCCTCTCCGCATCTCCAGCCACTTGTTGACAGCGTTTACCCTCTGCATGAGATTGTGGAGGCACACAGGAAAATGGAAGAAAACAAGAACATTGGCAAAATTGTTATTGAAATGCCACTGAAATCACCGTAAAGAAAGGCCCTCTGCTGTAGTTGCTTTACGGGTAGGAGCACTATGGATGCCTTAAAAGCTGAGTTTCTGCTATTTCTGCTTCCAAACTGGAAATGATTTATTGTGGAAGACGCAAAAAAATGAGGGCCAAAGCAAAGCCTTACAGGATATGTGAATAAAAAAAGCAATTCACACTGCAGATACAGCGTATGACATCTTTACACAGGAAAACAGATAACAGCAGGACAAGGGGAAATCGTTTTAAGTTGAAGGAGGGAAGATTTAGGCTGGATGTCGGGGGGAAGTTCTTTCCTATGAGAGTGGTGAGGTGCTGGAACAGCTGCCCAGAGAGGCTGTGGATGCCCCATCCATCCCTGGAGGTGTTCAAGGCCAAGTTGGATGGGGCCCTGGGCAGCCTGGTCTGATATCAAATGTGGAGGTTGGTGGCCCTGACTGTGATGGGGGGGTTGGAGATCCGTGATCCTTGAGGTCCCTCCTACCAACCCTGGCCATTCTGTGATTCTATGAAAACCACCACACGTCTATCTCCACTCAAACTTTTGGGTTCATTTCTGTTTGCCCACAGCTTTCCAAGCCGCACAATTCCTACACCTCAGCAGGCCCGAGCCAAGCCCCACCTGAACAAAATGGCTGCCAGCACCGCTTCCCTCAGCGCACCGGAGGCGGGAAGGGCGGCAGGGCGGCGGGCGGGGCTAGAGGCACGCAATTACGCGAAGTAGCGCGGCGGCACTTCCGGTGAGCGCGCGCGGTGCAACCTGGGATAGCATCCGGGTCTTCCGGTGAGGAGAGTTGTGGCGTCGGAGGACCGCTGCTGGAGGACCGCTGCCTGCTGTCGTTTCTCTCCCAGGCCCGAGGCCCCTCCGTTATCCCGGCGCCATGGCGATGCAAGCGGCCAAACGAGCCAATGTGAGTGCTCTTACCGGGTTCTAGCCTGGTAAAACCACGTAAATTCTATAGCTGATGGGCAGTAGGCCTGAGATGTAGTAGGTAGGCTGTAGCATTCAAGGTTTGAAGTGAGTTCTGTGTGTAACAACAACGTCTGTTGTTTCTGCTTTAGATTCGGCTGCCACCGGAAGTCAATCGGATCCTATACATCAGGAACCTGCCTTATAAAATCACCGCGGAGGAGATGTATGATATTTTTGGGAAATACGGACCTATTCGGCAAATCAGGGTGTAAGTAATTTCAGTTTTCTTTGAGGACTTAACTTATCCCAAGGCTTTGGGATGGCTGTCATGTGTCAGTATGCCTATTACAGTGGGAACAACTGGTTTTAATAGCTGAAAAAGCTGAGTGTGCTTTAGCAGCATCCCTGTGTGCTAAAGGAGCATGTGGTTGTGTTTCTCTTGTGTGTCAGTTTGTTGGTAAGCAGAACAGTGCTGGTAGGAATGTTGGTAGGAACGTTGTTTAAGCCTGGTCTGAATGTAGGTAAGTGGGGAAAAATAAGGACTTAAACCTTAAATGAACTAACCTTTTATTTTAAGTAAAGGTAAAAAATATGAAAAGCAAGGTTTGAGGGCAATCACTTCTGCTCAATGAGTATTAGATAAAGAACTAATGACGAAACAGGTATGGTACCACTGATGGGTGCAGAAAATACTGCACACCTTGCTATGCAGCTCAGCTGAGGCTGTACTTGTCTGTGCCAAATCCTAGCCTATTCCCTTTAGTTCTTTCAAATATTGATGACCTGAGCTCTGATGTTCCTTGTTGTCTTGAGTGTCGTGCCATGGATCTAACTGTAATTTCATCTGGTTAATGCCGTGTTCTAAGTTTCAGGCAGAAAGAGTTGACTGAGGACTTAGGATTAGCTGTTGAGAGCTGCAGTAAGATTGGCTGGAGTATTGGCATTCATACAAGATGATGATTTTTTTTTTTTTCAAGTTGAGAGAAATATTTTGGAAGGGAGGAGCAATAAGATTTGGTGCTCATCTTTTAATACTTGAAAAGAAGTTAAATGTAGGGTAGATACGATATGGTTTTCTTCACACTGCCCTTATCCAGATGTTGGCAAAATAACTTGTGGCATCTCTGATTTCACAGGTTGGTGACTGGCTGAGAGCTGAATGTGTCCTTGCTGTTTTTGTTGCTCTGTTTCCCCGTGCTCTTAGGTTGGGGTGGGTAATGAACCCGTAATGTTCATCACTTCAATTCTGTGGGGCATAGATATGATAACAGCTAAAAAGATCAAACTCCACCCCAGATCCAAGTGCTTGTTTTGGCCAGTGCTGTAGTGAAAAAAAGCGATGGCTCAGTGCAAAGAACAAAGTGAGTTTTCTGTGTAGAGTTACTCCCAGTAAACATGAACAGAGGGGAGTAGTGGGGTGTGCTCCTGCATGCTGTGTTGGAACGTGCAGCTGGTGGGGTCTTATTAATACAGAGAAGAACAACAAAAGGGACTGGGCAAGGGTTAAAAGAACGAGAGAGAACATAATCCTTTTGCTTGGCTAAATAGCTGGGATTTTCACTCATTGACATACGCTGACAGAAGAGAATTAATATGAAAAAGAGTAGGTAAGACACACCACGTTTGGATGCAGTGCTCCAGCTGAGGCCTCACAGCACAGAGCAGAGGGGCAGGATCACCTCCCACGCCATGCTGGCCATGCTGCTTTTGGTGCAGCCCAGGGTGCAGTTGGTTTTCTGGATTGTGAGGGCACAGTGCTGGCTCATGGCCAGCTGCCATCCACCTGTACCCCCAGGTCTTTTTCAGCAGGGCTGCGCTCAATCCTTTCTTCCCCAGCATTGGTCTGAGCTCCCTTTGTGAAACTCCCTTTGTAATTCTTCTCCTTCTCTGTGCAATTTTATCCTTTTTGTTTGCATACACACCATGACGTAGACGTGTGTGATGTTGTTTATTGGAGTTTATTTATAAGTCAGCTCCTAAGAAAGGGTTGTTGTGATTCCTAAGTTGGCTTTTAGCTGAGATCTCGTGGCTGTGTAAGCTCTGTAATAAGCTCTGTGCAAGCTCAGAGCTGGTTAGAGTGATGTGCCCAGACGTGTCTCCTGCTCCTCAGGCAAAGGAAATTGAATTGATGGTCTGATGAGTGATGGTCGTGCAGCTGAAGCAGCATGCATCAGTGTAGTTGTGTTGTGCTGAGAACAGTATTCTGTCTCAGTGCTGAATATTAATTGAGTCTTGTGCATCGAGTTTGATATTAATGCTTGTTAACATTTGCTCTGCAGTGGAAACACTCCAGAAACAAGAGGAACAGCCTATGTGGTTTATGAAGACATCTTTGATGCCAAAAATGCTTGTGATCATCTGTCAGGATTCAATGTGTGCAACAGATACCTTGTCGTTTTGTACTACAATGCAAACAGGGTAAGTGCTCTCGGTTTTCTTATTGTTACCTTTGAAGATGTTCAGCATTAAAAAAAAATAAATCAGTGTGAGAAAATGGTTGGATGCTTTTAAGAAATAATTCCAAATTGATAGAGAGAATGGATTGGATAAACGGCTAGGATTTCATCTTCAGTGTGATTCGTGTGCATAAATCACCACAGCCTTTGGACTAGGGATGTGGAAGCTGTGCTTCTGGTGAGTAGAGGTAAAAGGGGCCAAACTGTGACAGAGGGCTTTGAGATTTGCTTAACAGGAAAAAGTCTGTAAATCCTTGATGTTCTGCCTGATGAGGCCCAGAGTCTGGTGGAGTTCTCTGAGGTTGAGAATTAAGCAGTGCTGTTTGCATGTGATGTCGATGTCATTCACAATGAGAAGTTAGTTGCAGTTTATAGGAAATAACATACCTTAAGATGCAGTTTTGCTTCTCATGCGTATTATTATTTCCCTTAATTACAGGCATTCCAAAAGATGGACACAAAGAAGAAAGAGGAACAGCTTAAGCTGCTCAAAGAAAAATATGGAATAAATACAGACCCACCAAAATAAACTGATGTGTTTTAAAAACTGTTCTCCAGATCTGCCGCTGTGTTTTGAAACTAAGTAAGGATTCCCACTGAAGTATAACTTACTGTTTTTAGCAGGCTGTAATTTGAATCTTTAGATCAACTGAATAGATGTGAAACATCAGAATATCTGTTTTAAGGTAAAATCCCCTGAAGGGACACGACTTCCTGTGTTGTAAGGGCTTGGATGGGTAAGTGCTGTGTAACCACAGTCCTGTTTGGGGCAGGCTTTCGGAAGATGGGACCACATAAGTGGAGCAGTTCTGGCCTGCTGCTCCCCAGCCTCCAGAGCTGACTTTAAACATGGTAGCCAGCTGATGATGCAGAAGAGTTTCAAGGGCTCTATGAACTATCTCTGAATTTCACTGGCTGCTTCCAGAAATTGATTAAATGCAAGTAAACAGGACCCTCCCTGCTTTTTTGCTTGTGGTTTGATTCTTCTTCATTCTTACATGTTGTATACAACTCATTGTTTCTTTTTCTTCCTGGAAATATTTGATGGAGTGTTGTGGTTTAACCCAGCAGGTGGCTGAGCACCAGTTGTTTCCTCACCCCCTGCTTCCCAGTGAATGACAGAGAGAATGAAAAAGGAAAAAAAGAAAGTAGAACTCATGGATTGAGATAAAACTACACGCTAAGCTGCAGAAAAGGGTGATAGTTATGACAAATATATGCATATACATGTATATAACAAATCCACAAGCAGTTGTCCATCACCTGCCAACCAAGGCCCAGCTAGCCTTCTGAACAGCAGCAGAGAGCAAGACAAACTCCCACCCCCTTCAGAACTCCATCTGTATGATGTTCCAGGCTATGGAATATCCTTGTGGCTGGTTTCAGTTAGTTGTCCTTGCTCTGTTCCCTCCCAGCTCCTCAGGCCCTTCACTGAGAAGGGCTTTGGCTCTGTACAACGCTGCTTAACAGTGACTGTAAACATCAGCATGTTATCAGTGTTGTTTTTCTCCTAGAACAAAAACACAGCATCATACCAGACACCGTGGAGAGATCACTTGTGTTCCAGCTGAAACCAAAACAAGGAGGTTTAACCTATTCGGCTGCTGTTTGCTGGAAGCAAAGCTATATTTATAATGGAGATTCCTCTGCAAATAGAAAATGAGGGGCCATGTGAAGTAATTCAACTGTTCAGGTGACTTCTGTCAAGATACCTCATGCCCAGTGCTAAGAGCTCCTCCTGACAGCTCTCACTGCTGTACGGCTGAGGATGCTGGAAGAGATTTGGAAGTGTACCAGATTTGCACTGAACTGAAGCAACAGGAATGAAGCTAATGTCTTCAATATTACGTAGAGAACACAGGACCAAAGCAAGGCAATAGATGCTGGCAGTAATTTTAGATACCTGAACTGTGACTGTAATGAAGTTCATGCTGAGTGGAAAACTTGCAGTAGCCAGTAGAGGAAAAAAAAAATCCGATTTTTAATTATTTCTCAAAATATCAGCATTCATTGGAGGGGGCCCTGCGACTGGATGGGCTTTCAGGTCCCTGCCAATCTGCCAACCCAAGCCAGCCTGAGATTCATTCTAAATCCCTGCTGCCAGTGTGGGTGGCTTTCTGACTTGCTCAGCCCTCTCCTGCTTCTCCCATCGACGTGCATGTTCAAATGCACAGGGACAGTGATCTGTTTCATCTGTTTTATACTTGTACAATTGGTTACTTCTCCTGTGTCAACCTGGTGAAGAGGTCCAGCCCATGAGGTTAACACAAGTCTAAGTTGTTCAGGCAAAACCAGCTTGCCTTAAAATGTTTAAATGAATGAAATCTCATGGGAGACTTCCAAGTGACCTGCCACAGCTCTGTAAAGGCTGGAGGGAGACACATGAACATGCTCTTTACACAAGCTGTTGGGTGTTCAGATGGCTCTTGGCTGTAACAAGAACTGGATTGATGCTTTAATAAATAATGATAAACGCTGGTAACAACCCACTGAAGTGCTAATAATGGAGCCGTGTTCTGTCTGCCTCGTTTAAAATCATGTGCAAATACTGCATTCCATCTGTCAATAGCAGACAGCATGTTGCCTACTCTGTAGTGTCTGCTTTGATGAGGATTTGGTGCTGTTTGAAAAATACATATAAAAAGCAATTCTAGAGGGTAATAAGATTAATAAAAATTCCTTCAATGAATCCTCAACATCAGCAGCTTTTGATATCCCCAAGTGCTCAGCTGCTGCCTTTCATTAAATATTCCATTTCATACTTTTCCTTCTAGAGTCTGTTTGGGGCTTTCAATGTCCCTATACGTGGAAAATGAAATAATAATTTGTACCTGTAAGACAGAGAGAATGGAAACCGAATGCCCAGAGGATTGTTTTGATGAGGTCTGCTCAAGATTTTGTTTGAAATGTACTATCAAAGGACGAGGAAATGAGTTCAGTTATATGAATGGCAGAAGGGGCAGCAAATAAGGCAGATGTTACCAGCCTTGCAGTCTGCATCTGTGCTGATTTTTGTGTCTGCTCACTTTCCATTTAATTTTTCAGGAAGTAGGGCATGAAATTAAGCCTGGAAGGTCATTTTTTTTCCCAGCTATACTGTTTAGAAATCAGTAACAAGAGCAGATCTGATTACACAGGCGGCAACAGCAAATTTTTTTCTAATCCATTATATAGTGGCAATAATTGTATGTACTGTGTTGATCGATGATACAATTAAATAAATTAACACATTTGCAGTCAAATGAAGAGCTGGAGATTACATTTCCTTGAAGACTTAATTTCCCTAAGTATCACAAAGCACAATTAGTTTTCCTTTCACATTTTTTTAAATGAATTTGGCATGAAAGATGTAATAATCTCGGCTTCCAACAAAGGTCTCTGAAGGGAGAGAGTGATGAGGGAGAGAGCTTCATCAAGCAGCTGTAATAAGGGTTTTACAGACTCCTAATGGCAGGCTTGCACAGCTGAGGGCAATGGGAAAGGTAAGTGCACAGCAGCTCTTTGGATGGAGATGACAGGGCTGTGATCAGCTCTTACAGCCCAGCAGGGATGCAGCGCTCATGGTCAGAAACCCAGCAGAAGTGCAGAGCGATGCCCCAGCTCTCGTGCAAACAGCAGTATTGGCTGGACCAATTCATTCTTCTTGTCACTGTATGCTTTTGAGGCATTTGAGAAAGGCCTGTATCCTAAATGAATATCCTAAATGAAACCTCTCAGTGAAACTCGGATCTGTAACCCAGCTGCTGCAGAGACCCCGAATTTCCACTGAAAAAGGGCTTTCTCCTTTGTTTGCTAGAAGGAGAGAGGAGCAAGAAAAAAGTTTACCAATTTTCAGTGAATAATAACCTGCAAGAGGGAGGGGGTTATCTGCTTTTGAATTAACAAACTAAAAGGCAGCTTTGTGGTTGGGATGACCGCCTAGAGAAAGAAAAGAGATCTGTGGTCCCTGCTGGTCAGATGGGCTGTCCTGCTTTTGTCCTCTTATCTCTAGGAGTGCCCTCACTATGTGGCTTTGCAGTCCATCTTCCCACGAGAGCTGTGTTTTCCTTACAGAAACTCACACAAGAAAACAGAGCAACTGTTTCAGATACTCACCTCAAAAAATCCTGTAGTTGAAAATGATGCAAGTAGTTTACAAGCTTCTTTCAAGTACTGGAAGGCCGCAATGAGGTCTCCCTAGAGCCTTCTCCAAGCTAAACAAGCCCAACTCCTTCAGCCCTTCTTCACAGGAGAGGTGCTTCAGCCCTCTGATCATCTCAGTGGTCCTCCTCTGGATGTGCCCCAACAGCTTTAGATCTCTCCTGTACTGGTGCCCCCAGGTTCAGATTGGCTTTGTGAGCTGGATGCACACAATTCTGCCCTTGTTTAGCCTACCTGAGCTCCAGCAGAAATTTGTATGCTAGATTTACTGTTGTAAAGCATAGCATGGGATCAGCACTGTGACTCTGAGAAACACCGATTTCCTTCTCTTCAACAGCCAAATTTGGCCCAGAAGTCAGGGGCCACCGGCAGTGCAGGGCAGATGGGGAGTCAGGAAACCTCTGTCCCAGCAGCACCTATGTGTGTGCTCCTGGACATCTTTCCCTGTGCAATCTATAAGAGAAGCAATACATGGAATTATGCATATTTTTGTGTAGGAAGATAAATAATTATCAAGAAAACAGGTGAACATTTCATAGAATCACAGAATGGGCTGAGTTGCAAAGGACCACAATGATCACGTAGTTCCAACCCCCTGCTGTGTGCAGGTCACCAACCAGCAGCCCAGGCTGCCCAGAGCCACATCCAGCCTGGCCTTGAATGCCTGCAGGGATGGGGCATCCACAGCCTCCTTGGGCAACCTGTGCCAGTGCCTCACCACCCTCTGGGGGAAAAACTTCCTCCTAAGATCCAACCTAAACCTCTCATGTCTCAGTTTAAAACCATTCCCCCTTGTCCTGTCACCATCCACCCTCACAAACAGCCGTTCCCCCTCCTGTTTCTATGCTCCCTTCAAGTACAGGAAGGCCACAATGAGGTCTCCCTGTAGCCTTCTCTTCTCCAAGCTAAACAAGCCCAGTTCCCTCAACCTTCATGTCTGTCTGAAGAACTTCTCATTCACTAAAAAGAATTGCAGTGGCCAATGGAAAGCAGGAAAAAAAGAAAACACAAACTGTAAAGTATCAAGGTTTTATTGTTTACATATATACTTAATTCTTAAATGAGACAGTATTCTTTAAAACAGCAGCAAGCAGAACGTACAAGTTGAGAAAAGTGGCAGCGCAGGTAACTCTGTTTGGCTAATGCCCGTTCATGTACAAGGCGTACACTGGAGTTTTTGAGCACCTTTTGTGTTTTGTTTTGTTTTTTTTTTTAATTTTCTTGGTTTAAGTGTACAGTAAGGCAGTGGTTTTTCAATAAGGAATATATATATATATTTATATTTATATATATTTTCAATCATCACTGTGAATTCTCATCACATGCAGATTAAATAAAATGTACAACTTGAGAATGTTACAACGGTAGACATTTTTTCCCAAAGCAAAGCTTCCAATGAAAGGCAAATATGGACACCACAAAGTCTAAGAAGAAAGGAGAAAGAAAGGCTTAAGAAACCTAACGGCAAATGCTACTGATATGACAGCTTGAGCAGGAAGATTAGGATTCCAGTGAAGATTTCCCCCGCTGCTGGGAGGGTGAGAAAGAAGGGATGGTTATGGAGAGGTGCCTCCAGCCAGCTCCCCCAAGAAGACTCACTCCAACCTGAGAAGCTCCACGTCAAAGAGGAGCGTGGCATTGGGAGGGATGACCCCGGGGTGGCCCGTGGCTCCGTAGGCCATCTCAGGTGTGCAAGTCAGCTTTGCTCTTTGTCCTAAGCTCATCTGGTTTTTGGATGGTGGAAAAGGAAAAAGACAAGATAAAACACAGTATTAGCAGGAAGACAGAACAGAGCACTACATGGCAGATTTACAGAACCGAGGATATTCACGATGGTCAAATTCATCTTTTTGCTCTTCAAGAAAGCTGAAGCTGTTACAAACAACTCACATTCATTGCCTAGCTCCTCTGGCTTCTCTTTAAATTGCTAGAGCCAGCCTGGGAGCAACGGAAGTCTTTCCAAGGCACACTGTGATCTATACTGCTTACCCTGGAGTCAGTTGCATGAGGTGTGAGTTCTGTGGAGTGCAGGATACATAAAACACCATCAGCAGGAGTTATGGAAAAGACTTAGTAACAGGTAGGATCAGAGCTCTGTGTTCATGACAAATCAGCACAGAGATACCATTTGATTCAGATTCTTAAAAATGTCCAGCAGTGGTTTTTGCTTCTTCAGTCACCGTCATCGATGACTTCAAAGCTACTGACCAAACACAAATGTTAAGAGGCACCCGACTTTCTGCTGCTGGACTGATGCAGTCCTAATTAAGAAAGGTTTCCCTAGACTGAAGCCCAAGGACAGATGCTCATGCACAGCTTGTTCTGTCTCATCCCTGGGACAGACAGAAGTGCTGAGCTCTCTCACACCAGATTAGCTTTAGAGGTGAAAGTTCTCACCAAGATTTGCAGCATCAAGATTGAAAATTCTGTTCTGCTCTGGGGTACAGCTGTGACTTTTGTGCACTATACTGGTGACCAGCTATTCACTGGCCAAGAAACAATCCCTGACTTTATGCAGTGAGGTTAATTCAGATGTTTTTCCCAGGATTGGACCAAACTACATATTACCCAGTTTCTCCTGCTGAATTTCGTTTTCTGTTTCTATGAAATATGCTAAAGCTAGAGCTTCAGTCATTCTAGGTAGAAGAAAAATGGGAATGTAACTTTCCCACATTCACAGAATCACAGAATGTCTTGGGTTGGAAGGGATCCCAAGGATCACGAAGCTCCAACCCCAGTGCACAGACAGGGCCACCAACCTCCCCAACACTCAGGGTGCATTCGTAGAATGCAGATGAAGGTGTGAGAGCAAATAACTTCCTTGGTCTTTGCAAGGTTTGACACTGGTCTCTGGTGCTCTGGTGGGTCCCTGCCAGTAAGATAGCTGGTACATCATCCATGGATCTTAGGCATGGGGCAACCTCGAGCTGTCAGAAATTGAGCACAGAAAAGCAGATGCTGCTGCCATCTCACAGGCATTAAACCAAGGTCTGGAAAATTGAAATGCTCGACGTAGTGAATTGCCTTTTTCCATGTGCCTTGTGTCAGTCACACACCCCTAACTCTCAAAAACTCTGAGGTGGAAGGAGACAGCCACAAGTCTAACGCAGCGATCCACTAGGAGGAGCAGGAGGGCAGCGTGTGGCCACACTGCTGGAATGGAGTTAGGCCACAGTAATTAAGAGACAGGGGTTGGTGAGTGTGTTCAAGGCACAGATAAAACCGATTCACCCAGAGCTTGTTTACAGAGCTTTTCCTGCACTGGTTTCTGACTAGGATAAAAGCAATCCCAACTGAACTTAAATGCACTTTTGGGTTCCTTCTCTTTGTAGGGCTCCTTGTCATATGACAACAGGTGGATGAAAAATCATGGAAATATTTGCAAAGAGTCCTGCTGCTGGCTCTATTGAAACCATTTTGTTGTTCTTCTCTATGCAGTCCGCCAATTCTGCATTTCAAGCATATAGGGGCCCTGAGCCCTCCATAGGCAAAGCAAATAATAAAGAGTGCCCCCTAGATGTTAGAGCAGAAGGTGGATATTTTTCAGACTCTAGGATTCCTCAGATGGACCTGTTCCTTCTCAGCTTGGAGAGAAGGATGTGCTTGTGTTGCTTTCTTGTGGAGCTGGAAACCACGTTCTTTTCCTTTCCTCTCAAACGAGCCTGGCTGCATCATTCATCACTGGATTGCTTCTCATTTTGCATTCTTTCCCTCTCTGTATTGAAGTGTAAGAATTTGTTCCTGTCAATAACATTTGAGCAATTTCCTCTTATTATGAGCCCCAGAAATCAGAAATGGAGTAACTTTCGCACTTCAGCACCCTGACTGCACTCCTCACACTGTAGGTCCTCACAAGCACTGCAGACAAAACACTGCAGAGACAGCATGGAGTTGCTCTGTGTGGCTCTTTCAGAGTTTTACTGTGCTGGCACTCAAGCCGTAATTAATGGAGGGCAGTTTCTTTTTTCATGTCTTATGGCTGCTTGCTGACTGTTAAGTTTTGTAGCTGGGAGTACTGAAGTCATAAAAGTTTAACAGTGCAGTATGGTGCCCTACTCAGTAGGGGTCAAAATCTGCAGCACAGTCGTAGATGTTGTCAAAAACGACAGCTTGGCCTTTTATTGAGTAGCTGAATAGAGGCCACTTCATAAAATACTGCCACCTGGATCAGTTTAGAGGCCACTGTGGTTTATGTGAGGTAGTTAGCCCTGGAAGAAGCAAGACTTATATACACATTGACACCTGGCAAGAAGATCTTGCCTCTCCTTTCTCAAATGCACACTTCATGTAAAGCCTTGTGAGCAGGAGGTGTCTTAGTCAGCTAGTGGAGGACTACAGGAAATTCTGCTCTTGAACAGACCATGCTTTCACAGAACAGAATAACAGAATTATCCAGGTTAGAGAAGACCTTCAAGATCAAGTCCAACCATCAACCCCACCTACTGAGCCCCATCACTGAATCATGGCCCTTTAGTGCCATGTCCGCATCTCTTAAATATTTCCTGGGATGAGGACTCCACCACTGCAGCCTGTTCCAATTCTTGACCTTCTTTTTCATGAATGCATTTTTCCTAGTATCCAATCTAAACTTTCACTGGAGCAACTTAGTACCATTAAGAAAACCACTCAGGATTTGACACTGTGATTTCCACGTGGTCTTGTTAACACTGCACTGAACACTAAGCCCTGACACATCTTTCACCCAGTTGGAAATTGAGCCAGAATCATGTCTTTGTACCTGTATAACACCTTCTTCAAATCCTTTAATGACTTCTTGCCTGCCAATCTTGAACCTGAAAGGTTTGTTTCTGTCTCTGGAGGAATCAAACTTCTTTCCATTCTGTAGCATTCCTGCCAAAAGAAGAGACACAGTTTCAATCCAAGCTACATCTAAATTTAAGTGCTGGGAAAGAAGTGAAAAATTAATGTCTTGGTTACATCAACTGTTTATTTCCATTTTCACTTTAAAATGGTGAAAGGGAACAGAGAAAAAACATCTGTGTGGGGTGAGGGCTGATGTGCAGGACCATCACCACCACAAGTTATTGTCCAGTGGTTGTTAAACCAACTCTCTGCCAACAGGAGTCATTAGAAGTGGTATTTCCTTCCCTTGTCCTTCAAGACAGTCACAGGAACACCTTACATGTTGATGAACACAACAGTGTTTCAACATATGTATGCATGCACAGGTTCTACAGCAGATGGATAAGCTTTCACAGAGCTCTATACCCTGAGATATTCTCATTATTTTTTCAAGGACAGAATCACAGAATCACAGAATCACCCGGGTTGGAAGGGACCTCAAGGATCATGCAGTTCCAACCCCCCTGCCTAGCAGGGCCACCAAACACACACATTCAGATCAGGTTGCCCAGGACCCTGTCCAACCTGGCCTTGAACACGTCCAAGGACGGGGCATCCACAACCTCCCTGGGCAGCCCGTTCCAGGGCCTAACTACTCTCCTTGTGAAGAACTTCCCCCTAACATCCAACTTAAATCTTCCCTCCTTCAACTTGGATCCATTTCCCCTAGTCCTGCTGTTGTCAGCCCTTTTGAAGAGTTTACTCCCCTCCTGGGTGTAGGTTCCCTTCAGGTATTGATAGGCTGCAATGAGGTCACCCCGCAGCCTTCTCTTCTCCGGGCTGAACAAGCCCAACTCCCTCAGCCTGTCCTCATAGGGGAGGTGCTCCAGCCCCCTGATCATCTTAGTCGCCCTCCTCTGGACCCTTTCCAAAATCTCCATGTCTTTCTTGTACTGAGGGCTCCACACCTGGACACAGTACTCCAGGTGGGGCCTCACAAGAGCCGAGTAGAGAGGGACAATCACCTCCCTGTCCCTGCTGACCACCCCTCTCCTGATGGAGCCCAGGATCCCATCTGCCTTTCGAGCTGCCAGAGCGCACTGCTGGCTCATGTTCAGTCTCTCGTCCATCAGGACCCCGAGGTCCTTCTCTGCCGAGCTGCTCTCAAGGACCACTCCTCCCAGCCTGTACGGGTGCCTGGGGTTCTTCCGGCCCAAATGAAAAACCTTGCACTTTGCCGTGTTGAACCTCATTAGGTTCACTCGAGCCCAGCCCTCCAGCCTGTCGAGGTCCCTCTGAATGGCATCCCTTCCTTCCACCGTATCAACCGCACCACTCAGCTTGGTGTCATCAGCAAACTTGCTGAGGGTGCACTCAATTCCCTCATCGATGTCATTAATAAAGATGTTAAAGGGATTTTATTATAATTTTAACCCTAAGAGTAACTGAGAATTGCTTTTTCCAATTACATTCTGAATATTGCAAGGCTGGGTGGATATTTCCATATGAAAATAATTACTTTCTTTGTAATGTAATGCCAGAGTTTTTTGGACACATACCATGACTCTACTGTTCAAGGTGCTGTAAAAAGAAATGCTTGTGAATAAGCTTATATTTGAGACGGTTTCCAGTTGCAAACAATTTTATAAAGCACAGCTTTGACAGAAAATGCTGAGAAATACTGCCCTCATGACTCAATATGAAAACATACAGTCTTTCTGGTTTCTTTTCATTAAAGCTGTTATATTAATAGACCAGCTTGATGCAGCTTTTTTTCTTAGCGAAAATCATTCGTTATTCTTCAAACAACGACAACAAGAAAAGGCACGTGTCTTATTTAAAGAATGTAAATATAAAGACGTGCCAGAATCAAAACCAAAGACCTAAAGGGTAGGATTCATCTTACCTACCTTTCTTCTGCTGAGATGTGGCCTGCTGTTTTTGAGCTTAATTACTCTGCTTCCCTCTATAACCAAGTCAGAAGAGAAAGTACTCTGGGAGGCAATTCATCCAATCAAATTGTGGGATCTACAACAGGACACAAGGCATTGCATCCTAGCTGTGCCTGTTTCTTTGCAATGAATATAAAGGAAGTCCAACCAACTAGCTCAGACACAGATGTCTCCAAACTTGTTAACAGTTAAACCACAAGTGGTGGCATTCTAGATTTGCAGTAACAAGCACACAATATTTGGTTGTTCAAGTGGGGTCCTATGGCTGGATGTCATGTACAAATGACATATTAAGGCTAATTAACTGTTCATCAGGTCCAGCATGTCTAATTCTGCACTTCATAGAAGTGTGTGAGTTTCAGTATAAGGCCTTAGCAGGTAATTATGGAAAAACCTGCCCATAAGGCACATTTCACATTTGTCACATTCCTGAGTTTTATTAACAGTAGAATTGCAAGCAGTAGAGTTACAAACAAACACAAGTTCATTTGTGTGGTAGAAATATACCATGCACAGGCAGAAGGACAGGCAGGAAGAAGCAGCTTGGGGAGAACTCTGGGGCATATAATATAATCCTTTTTGAACTATTTGATCTTGTATTTAATAATGGCCCTTTCTTACGGTAATTTTATTTTTAAAATGCATCTGAAAATTTTTTGTTTCTATGAAATGGAAGGAGACTATTGGAGAATTTCAATATTTAACAGTTTTAATATTATATCTTAGTACTGTCATTACATCCTGCGAGTTCAAAGTAGTATGCAAACATTAATTATTCTTTCCAGCAGCCCAAGAAGGTAGAAAAAGATAATATAAAATAGCCTTACTCTGAAAGTTCAGCTCACGTGTAAAGTTCCACAAAACTTTGGTATGTTTTCACTGTCTTTTGTAACAACATCCTATTAGAATACTTAGCTTAAAGGTCTGATGCTTTACTGTATACCACACATCAAACTGAACCAGAATGAACTCTCTGGAGAGCTTGCTAGTTTAATATATATCATACCAAACCTGACTTGTTTCCCCATCAAAACCGTATCAAAGATCAAAGGTTTAGAGGGAAACAAGCTTCTTTACAGCAACATCCTATGGTCAGCAATGGATAAAAGTTCATCAACAAATGAATCAAAGCATGCAACCTCCCCTGCCATCAACCCCACCTCTTTGCTTCTAGAGGACAAGCTGGGATTCAAGTAGTCAGGTGTGTCTGTATTTGCTGAATACAAGAGGGTCAATTTTTATATGACTGCCCTTTAAATGTACATTGAGATTAGAAATGAGTCAGAGTCCCCATGTGCCCTGGAGAAGTTCTGATCTGAATTTAGATCTGAACTTTGAAGCCTATCTTTTTTATCTCTCTATTTCTGAAAGTTAAGAACTGGCTCTTTGGCCTCCTGGGAGCTAAAACAGCAAAATGTTTTGTTTTCTCTCTTGCTAATATATCAATTGATTTTCTTTCTGTGAAAAAATTGATTTGGTTAATATTCTTCAGCAAAGACGGATGCCCATCTTCAGCCTGCAAGCACCTTTATTTATCTAGTTAACAACAGGGAGGCAAAAAAACCCACAGTCTGGAATGAACAACGGCGTTGCTTTGCAAAGTCAAAACTCCCTTGGCAATCAATGAGAGGTTGCACTGAGCAAGGACACCAAGAAGCTTATATGCTTGTTACAATTACCTCACATTTGATTCTGAAAGGTAAAAACTACTGTACAAGAATAATTAATTATAGAAACTCATTTATCAGGATATCATCTGGATTTGGAAACGTTCTCACCTACAGGGCGTCCTAATCAACAAACCAGCGTTAAAACTGAGGTGGCTGCAGAAAACCTCATTGAAACTGAAGAAGATCAAAGAGTTGACGACTGATGTTGTTAAGGAAAATGACCAGGGATACGCATGCCTGTTCTACTCTTTCAATGTGCTTTACCCACCTGAGGTCACTCAACCTCAGCTAAGACCACGCTGTGTAAGTCTGTTCCCTAAGGAGAGAGGCCTAATGAAAATGTAAGTTTTCAATTTTTTAGCCAGTTTCGACCAAATCTGGCAGAGGAGTGGGGTTCCTAATGACCTTTGTATTTCATGGAAAGAAATCTGGCTAGGAAGCTTCCACAAAGAGAGGGGCTCATTTTTGTTACCAGAGAACCTATATTATGAAGTGGAGCTTAAGAGAAATAGGAATGTCATAGCCATCCTGCAGTCTAAGTTTCTATTTACTGGGGGTTCTGGTTGTGTGGCTGGTTGAATTTCCAGATGAACCGTTCTCAGCTTAAGGAATCCAGCTACTAAGGCACCTGATTTATAACTATGGTTCCAACAAAACCATGCCCAAAGCCATGCTCAGACTGTTATCTACAAATTAGACAGATGGAGAAAGAGAGAACAGAAAGCCCTCTGTGATGCCATGTCAAATCTAGTGCCTGAAGCCAGTTAACAGAGGTGTAACTGAGGCACAGTGAATTCTACTGCTTACATTAGCCACCTCAGAGACAGAAGCTGTGTCTCAGCCCTGCCACTTGGGCTACTTCTACAGTCAGGGGAGAAAGAGTGCTATAGGATCATAGAATGACCTGGGTTGAAAAGGAACACAGTGATCATCTAGTTTGAACCCCCTGCTATGTGCAGGGTCACCAACCACCAGACCACATCCATCACACATCCATCTACACAAAGCAGACCGAACTGCATCCCAGGCTTCCCCAGCTCCAGTGTTTGCTTGTCTTTAAACTGTTGTCATGCTCTGGGAATCAGAGATTCTAATCCAGGACAAATCCCTTGATTTTACTATGTGTCTACAATGGGATTCACTTACCTGACAATAGTATTAAGGGCATGAACTGAACAAGTGACTTCCAAAAAATAGATGGAATGAATTCCCTTGTTTTTCTATAATTACCAATACAGAAAGTAAACTCAATGCACGTACTTGAAGACAGTAATTTTCTGTATATTTGTTGGTATCAGAAGGTGGGGCAGATATTCAGAAGGTATTTCTAGGATGCTAACTTGTTTCCTTTTATGTAGACCAGGTTTTCTTCAGGATAGGGACTATATTCTGATGGTCTTAAATGCAATCACCTTTCCAGTTATGC